AAGCTTAAGGAAGGATTAAATAGGATCAAAACTAAGAGATGGATGAAATATTGGAGATTTAAGAAAATAGGTTTTGGAATGATATGTTAACTTATGAGTTTTTAATGATGTTTACTAGTATATTTGACTTGTCAAAGAAGTAAATGATAGATTAGAAGCATTGGATTGGTTTAAAAACATGTTAGAAAAAGTGGTGTGATTCTTATATTGAAATGTTCTTGGGAGAGTTTAGATGTTTTAAAAAGCTAAATGAAGGAAAGTTAGTAGGGATAAGTAGAGAATAGTTTAATAGTATTGTTGGGTGTAAACATAAGGAAATTTGACCAAATTTGGGTAAGATTCAAGCTGAAAAATGGAATATCTAGGTAAGGGTATCGGTACTGATAGAACAATATCAATACTATAGGCTTAAAATTAGAAGAATCAGCTGAACAAAATTGATACTGATGCAATTGGTATCAATACTGAGAGGGGTATCGATACTATGGAGGAGGTATCGATACCATTGATTACAAAATACAGAAATGGTATCGATACTGTAAGGGAGTATTTGTGCCACATTATAGAAGTATTAATACCATGGTAGGGGTACCGATAATATTGAGACATAAATTATAAGATAAATTGAAATTGTTATAGAAATTTAAATAATAGTACTTGTGAATATTATTAAAGTATAAATTTTAGGGAATATACTATCATTTAGTATGGTATATATCTTTAATGGATGCTTATGTAGATCGTAATCAAACTCCTGACTCAAGCAAAACGGACAAAGATGAAGTAGCTGAGTAGTCAGATTTGCGTTTTGGATATAATAACGAGGCAAGCCAGGTGAGTGCATTTATTATGTACATTAAGAGTTATAAATGTATGTTGTTAAAAGTATATGTTGCAATTGTATATTAGTATTATGTGTACTATAGGCACTATGTGTGCAACTCACGGAATTCTTCATAAGTTGATGAACAATTGTATAGGCACTATGTGTGCAACCCACATAATTCATCATAAGTTGATGAACAACCGTACAGGAGCTATGTGTGCAACCCACAGAATTCATCATAAGTTGATGAACAACCGTACAAGCACTATGTGTGCAGCCCACAAAATTCATCATATATTGATGAATAACCGTACATGCACTATGTGTGCAACCCATGGAATTCATCATATGTTGATGAACAACCGTACAGGCACTATGTGTGCAACCCATGAAATTCATCATATGTTGATGAACTACCGTACAGGCACTATGTGTACAACCCACGGAATTCATTATAAGTTGATGAACAACCGTACAGGCACTATGTGTGCAACTCACGGAATTCATCATATATTGATGAACAACGTACAGGCACTATGTGTGCAACTCACGGAATTCATCTTGTATTGATGAACAACCGTATAGGCACTACGTGTGCATCTTAATAAAATTATCATGACTAGAAAGTTGGTAAATTATCGTATTGGCACTATGTATGCAAACTATAGAGTTTATAATGAATTGAAAAAGTTAATTGATATTATGAATAATTATTAGAGTAGAAACTGTTCTAAAATAAAAGACTAAATGTCTAATGGTGCATTTGGCAGAAAGGTGTCAATAATGAAAGTTAGAAGAAAGGTTAAATGCCTTTAGGATAAAAGACTAATGCCTAACGGTGCATTTTGGCAAAAATGTACCAGTAATACAAGTTAAATGAAGAACATTACATAATTGGCATGAAAGGATGCCATAAATGAAAATGTATAACAGTGCATAATTAGCATTAAAGGATGCCACAAATAAAAATACATAGCGGTATATTAACGATATATAAGGTGTCGCTCATGATAATTATAAAAGATAAAAGACCATTTGACACTTTGGTGCAATACATGTACATTACTTTCTCATTTAACGTACATATGACAAATAAAGAATAATTGAGAAAAATATATACATAATGATAGGTATGTTGGGACTATTAAGAATAATTTTGATGATTGTATGAAAGAAAAATCTGGTTTAACTAAGAAGGATTTATCTGATCCTTATGGAGTATGCGATTTAGTTCGTCATTAAATAGTCATGAGATACTTATGTATAAATTGCAGATTCTTTACAATATTATGTCTCACTAAGTATATACTTAACGTGTGTTGATTTTACGCATAGGTAACAACAAAGACTAGTCGGGTACTGGGAGCAGGAGCAGCTATCATCAATATAAGGTTGGCCCTAATCAATAACAGTAGGACAATCAAGTTATTTTGAAAAAAATTACTGGCATGTAATCGAAATTAAGAAAAATTGCTCTATAATGAATTGAAAGTGATAACTTTGGTAATAGGTTTCAACGACTGTTTTATTGTTGTACTAAAATATTTTTTGGTTTTAAATTTCAAAACAAAATTTTATGGGTTTTACAAATGGGTGAATGTTTTTAAAAGTCATGTGACACCTATGACTTGTGTACGGAAACGTATACGGGAAATGTGTGTTACAACATTAGATCAACGATTATACTGTTGGGCTTTGTAAGATCAGTCTTTGGATGTTTTTCATTTGAAGATCAGTAGCTTGAGTTCGTGGAGCACCGTCGTAGCAGGACTTCCATAATCTCCTTTAGATTATTGCAATGTAGCTTTAGTGGGCATGTGTATTCATAGAACATTACTTATGTATTTAAGTTGTAAACCTCAAGATGTATTATTTGTTTTTTAAATTATGTGTCACGAAGCTGTGGTTTATAAAATATTTTAATAACTATTTTGTATGTTGTATAATACCATTGAGTATGTTTTAAAAAGAGAATGAACATGTTTTTAAAATCAGATGTTGCCTTGGCAGTCCAATATAGCACTTTAGGCCCATTCGAGTTTAGGGTGTTACAAAATTTAACTAAATTTAGTAATTTTAAAATATAGTATTTACTACGTGTCAACCGACGATATCAATTATCATTCGTTTGTTTTTTTAGTTACACCCGACAACTTCATCTCAGTAATTTTATGTCGCCATCTAAATAATATAAAAATTAAGAAAACAAAAAAAATTACTAAAAAATAATGGTAAAAAATTACTTTGCAGGAAACTCAACCGGGACAACTGTAATTGGCATAAACGAGAACCGTTACCACACCCAAGATTGTAGTAGGACTAGACAACTCACTACATTTGCTTTTTTGACCCCATTCGATAATTGTAGCCTTGCAATGTTTTCGATATAAAGAAGCCAAAAACGTCGAACCCCAACTAGTGTTTCGACACTCAATAAAATTCTTCGATATATGAAGATACTGAATGCACACAAAAGTACCATATTTATTCGGTAACAATACCCCTCCAATCAATTGGAGCAGATACGCTCAAGCTGTAAAAATCACCTCTTTCTCGGTAGAGTCATTTGTCACATTAAATCTGAACTCCAACCAAGTAATTCGTATCCAATACCCGTCTAAAACCTCTGATGGTGGCACATTTCCCAAAACTTCATGAACAATTCTGAATCGGTCGAAATTGTTGTGTCTCACTATTGTCGCGCCATTAATCGAAACACCAAGTTGGTAAGCAATATCTTCCAACGTAATTGTCGCTTCACCACTCGAAAAATGAAAAGTATACGTCTCCGGCCTCCAACATTCAATGAGAGTCATAATCAATGTCGGGTTCACCTTAAAATCACACAAAAACATCGCTGGATACAACCCAGATTGTTGCAAATATATAATAATATGCTCACGCGGATCTCTAAGACTGATTCCTCTTCGATGAATGCTCCGTCCTTCAATCAGACCAAGCTTGAGCGAAGAAATGTGGACATTATCAAGGAGTAACATTTCATCACAGATTGACATTTTTCGAAAATTTTGAATATTTTTCTTAACAAAACACAATAAAAAAACCTAAACTTCTATTTATAACCCCAAACCCAACGACCATAAAAGACTAGTTTTTAAAAAAAAATCATACCAAACGAGTTTGATAGTGACCGTTGCAGTTGCCCATTGTGCAACGACTACCTTTTCAAATTATTTAGTAAATTAATTTCTAACGGAACTCGTCACTTCGAGGTGATGAGTTTTTGTGAAAATAATTAAATATTAGTTTACATGGGACTCACATACTTAAGACTATTAAAAAAATATTTTCAATGAAACTTGTCATATTGAAGTGACTAATTTCAAGTTTACGAATGTTGTAGATTGAAAATCAAAAATCTGTTTTTACCTATTGGGCCAATTAATTTTTCCGTCTGGTATTGGGGGGGGGGGGACCTTTTAACAATCCAGAATTCTTGGTGGATATGGTGCCACTGCCATGTTTTAGTTAATGCCTCATAAAGAACAGCTTAATATTTCTTAGAACAGCCAACGTAAAAAATAACAAAACATAAAAGTTGTTTTTACCACTGAGACCAATGGATTCTACTTGATTATAAATGTCAAAATATTTTATATTCTCAAAGTAATCATATTGTCTTAGTCTAACACTTTGTTTTTCTTGTCTGACACATCCGGACACATGAAAATAACCTTCAAAATCCTTTTGAAGAAAGCATGTTAGTCTAAAGATGAAACAGAGGGATATTTTATAATCAGCCCTCCAACCATATTTTAAGGGCCAACTCACCATTTTTTTTCTACAAAACTTGAAAGAATATAAGAATTATGGAAAAACACAAGAAAACTTTATCATGAACCAAAATTAAAACTTGAAAGTACGAAATATATGGTCTTATAGATTTGGTTCCTTCAAGTTTATTCACATAAAACCATACACATTAAACATTTACTTATACACAAACTTTGGACAAGGTGGGGATCAATGAAAGCAAAAATTGCAGTATGGGTTATTATTCCTAATAAACTGAGACATTCATATGAATTAAAGCAATAGTTTTTGTTCTTTAATGAGTTTTCATATTCTGGTATCTTCAGGGAGCTCGGCTGAAGGCAGTCAGACAACAACTGATACCACTTGCCATAAACAAGGCCGATCACTGAAATTCAATATCAACAATGGCTTCCTCATGATACAATGATTAAACCAGTAATTGTTCAAAGATCCAGTTACCATAAACAGTACAGTTAAAATCAGGAAACCAAATTAAAATGTCTCCACTTTCACTCCCTGGTCCCTACTGAATTTTTACAGAGGTCCAGCTTGGACCTTTTTCTTAGTTGCAAGGCTACCCCCAGACAGCTCAGCTCTCAAAACATGAACATACATTAAAAGAGTTTGGCAACCAATGGCAAAATATGAAAAAAGAGGTCAGCTAGACTTCACAAAGTGGCGTGATAGCATTTTCCCAATCTCCAGGAAGCCGACCTTTTCTTTTCCATCGAAAATGGTCTTAAGCTTCTCATCACAAAAGATTTCCCTCTTGTTATCATGATTCTGCAGGAAAAAGTTTCCATATATTTCAGTGCATGTTACTAGACGGTATCCGCATACAAAAATGTCAGTCACTCAAAATATGATACCTAAGCAAAATCTACTAAACACAACGTAGTAAAATCAGCAACTTTGACATCACAACATGCAGCATATACTGCCATAATGAAAGAGTCCACATAAATTTCTGTTAACAGAATTACCGTTTCTGCCTTGGGTAAACACAAATATAAGCCACATAAATTTCTGTTACTCAACTTCAATAGACAAAATATGAAAGGGATGAGGTAATGACGATCCATAAGCACCATAGAGAGAATCTCAACTATGATCCCACACTTTTGTAATTGTTCACTCATGATCACTTTTCTACCAACAATAGCTACTCCATAGTAAGGCACCGATTAAATTCCCTTAAAAGGTCAAATTTCTAAACCGTGTGCATAGAATGAACATTGCCCGAGAGAATTCATCAATAGAAACTCTTAAGTAAGCATTAAAGAAGATAAAGGAAGCAGAGGGTGAAAATATTGCCTCGGAGATAGAAATCTTAAAAGAGAGAGATATCAAACACCAAATACAACCTGCATTTAGAAAACTCAAATGCTCAGTCAGCATATTAATTGAAACTGTGAAAAGGGTAAATGTTGTATAAATGAATACAACATTTGTCACAAGAAACAGGAAAGATCCATTACAGTGCTCGAGTCTCAATTTTTTCTCTACAAAATACAAGCAAGAACTTAGCGCGTGGAAAATCAGGAGATGCAATAAGAATGGCTATTGTTGGATAGCCTATGACTTAATTAAAGCACAGAGCCCAAAGCTTTTAAATCACTTTTGGAACACTCTATTCTTTCGGTTCACCTATACCCCACTTTCTTACATGAAGAAAATGACATGCCTTCTACTCACATCATTTCACTGAATTATAACAAGTTTTCTCCTATAATTGTAACTTCAAAAACACAACAGGGGGAAAAATCTTTTCACCCTAACAATCCAAGCATAAATTTCAATACCCTTCAAAAGAACTAAAGTTAGATTCATGAACATTAAGAATTCAATCTACCTAAATGAAACCTACATTAACAATTGAACATTCACAAAACTAATCCAACTACAGCTGACAGCTTAACTTCTCTTCAACAATAAAAACCAAACACGGGCAAAACCCATCATTAGAAACGACAGAGAGAGGGGGGAGAGAAAAGAAAAAAAATGAAAATGATACATAAACCTCAGAAACCCAGCAAGCAAACAACATGGGAGAAGAATCAATAATAAATCAAACTTATAAAACACCGAAGTTGAAAGCGTTTCCCCAGACATTTACTCATGCCCACATTCCTTTACATTTTTCATCATTCCTGAGATACTAAAATAAAGCAATTCCAATAAAAATAATAAACAAGGAAATAGGGCAGGAAAAGAAAGCAAAGAAAACCCAGGAAAAAAGATCAACTTTATAAAGGAAGCAAAAGAAACACTAGAGAGACAGAGAGGACCTGGAGGTTGTGGGACTTGATATAGTTCCAGATCTGCTTAACAGCGTCGGTACGGGAAGCCTGTTGGGCTCCAAGGAATCGACCCAAAGCAGGGGAAATGGGGACAATTTTAAAAATCCCGGATGGTCGGGTCGTGGTTCGGGGAGTAGCTGGCTTTTCAGCCTTGGGTTTTGAAGTGGTCGACTTTTTCGGAGTTTTCTTAGCCGTTTTTGAAGTAACTGATTTGGCAGAAGTGGCAATCGAAGCTGAAGAAGAAAACTGGGCTGCTGCAGCTAACGACGCCGACGCCGGGGAAGCTAACAGCGCCTTGAAACTGATGAAAAAACTAGACATCGTTGACTGCTAGAGGGGGAGAGAGTGGCTCGCCTGGAATCGATATTTCGAGCGCGACCTTTTTGAAAAGAGCGAGGGTTGAAGCGGATAGAGGCATGAGATTATGGGGAAGTATCAGGGTTTTACCATTTGCTTAATACACTTGGTAACTAACGTATTTCTTTTGGACAACGTTTGTAAATAATATCTGTTTTATATTAGAAGATGATTATCATTTAAAAATAATATTAATTGTAAGAACGAAACTACTTCAGCAATTAAGGGACGATTGTTTTTATTGAGGTATTAAATTTGAGCATAAGCAATTAGTAAGTATTTAAACTTTAATTATCAAATGATTAATAGTCTTTAAAATAAATATTACTACTTATAATCACTCTAAAATAATTAAAATAATAATAATAACGTCAATCGTACAATTTACATTATCTACTATTAGTTCTAAATTTTAATTTTTTTTCATAAATGAATTCATCATCAGGTAATTTTAGTAATTAAATATAATATTATTTTGGATTGAGGTCATGACATGATTTTTAATATCTATATTTATGGTATTTACTGTTAAAAAATTAATAGAATTGTTGATGTGATATTTTTTAATTTTTTAATGATAACGTAATATTATCTTATGGTGAAACATCAACATCATCGTTAAGTTTTTAACCACGAAGTATTAAAATGAAACTTAAACTAAATATTATGTATATTATAAAAGAAAATAAAGTTAAGGTATCTAAACAGAACAAAAGCAATAGTTTGGATGCTAAACACGTAGTTTACCCTAAATAATAATTCTAATAAAACCGACTAAATTGATAAGATCGAAGCTCCAATTGAATAGAGCGATGAAGGTGTTAACAGTAACAGACTCTGCTTAATTCCCAAATCCCCAAATATCGAAGAATTAGGGCTTGTGAGCATGAAGAAATCCAAACCCTGGTCCTCAATTTCTTCCTATTCGGCAGAAACCATAGCCCACAACCAGGACTTCCTCATCGAAATCCTCATAAGAATCCCTTCAAAACATCTCCTCAGACTCAAACTCGTCTCAAAACAATGGCGTTCCCTCATCTTCAGCCTCCAATTCTCTCATTACCACTCCCTTCACCACCAGAATCGAGGCTTTCTGACCCCAACAGCTCTCTTCCTAGGCATCGGGAACTATGACAGGCCTCCCTTTGAATTACCCGCCCTTCCCTTAAACCCTGAAACCAGGGTTCCCCTATTGGATTTCATTGCCGACCCACACTTCAAGATCCTCCAATCTTGCAATGGCTTGCTCTTGGGTCATTTCTATTACAATATAAATGAAGGGTTGAGGTATTTCATCTGTAACCCCACTACCCGTAAGTTCAAAATGATTTCTTTGCCTGTTTCGCAATCAGGTTCTTTACGTGCCGTTAATTTAGCATTTGATCCTGCTAAATCACCTTATTATAAGATCATTTGCGTCAGGAAATTGCTTTCTCCAAATAAAAGGTTTGGTCTGTACATCTATTCATCCAAGTCTAATGAATGAGATTCTTCTTGGATTAGCTTTCGAGCCAACGAGTACATAAGGTTTGACCATGGATTTTTCTTTAATGGGATCTTTCATTGGAATAGTAATGATCGGAAATCTTTGCGGTTTGATTTGGAGAATAAAGTGTTAAAGAAAATGCCAATGCTGGCTCCTATATTTCAAGCTCCCGAATCCTCCGAGGATGAGGATAGCCGATATTTCGGAGAGTCTCGGGGCCATTTGCATCTTGGAGTTGCATACATGCCACTTTGTTTTAAATTTAATATCTTTGAGATGGGGGCTGATTATTCCCATTGGTTCCTTAAATACTGTCTGAACATGGATGATACAATGAAATCTTTCCCTGACTTGAGGTTGCCTGTTGTGGATATCTATTATGGATTCCATGTTTTATCTGTCATCCGATCTGAAGGTGAAGAGTCTAAAGTTGTGATTCTTGTGGATTATAAAGCAATTTGTTTTGACCTGAAGGATGGAATTTTGCTAAATGTTTATGAGCTGAAGCAGTGTCCTGAGATTCTCAATCGGTGTCCATTGAATTATATCGGATTCAAGTCTATCAATATTTTGAGACCCTCTCTTGTGTATGAGGGTCTAACACTCTTAACTTAAACCAGAAGTCTGGCTTGATCGGATGCGGACCAAATTTCTCAGGTTTTATTTAGTAAATAATCCACTTATTATGTTGTATGCTTAACATTGTGATTGCGTAAGCATTTCTGCAGGTATAGGAGTTTGGGTTATATCATGCTCATAACTGAGGAATTTTTACCTGTATCAAGTGAAATCTAGTTTGCCTGTTCATATTTACTAATTTCAATGATATTTGCTTCTCTTAAACAATACATACTGTATTCCTTCTGCACCTCTTGGTTATCTGGTTAATGGCTTTTAATGTATGGTTCAGAATTTCTTGTTTGACTTCTGAGATCTTTCAGCATAATCGATTAACCATCGGAGCATGTTTCCCTCTGCTGTTTATGATTGGCCATTTTCAACTTTTGGAGGAAACAGAAGAACATTGAGAATTTAAGTTCGTTGAAATGGTAGAGAAGCTAGAGTTGCGGGGATGATGCTGTCTCTGTATATGAAATTATCTCATGCTAAGTATGTGTTATATATGAAATAGTTTCTCAACTGAAACTTCTGTGCCCCTTGAATTATAGCTGTTATGATTCAGATCAGTATGAAAGCCTTTTTTCTAGCATTCATTTACTCAATCAAACTAATACTGGGTGAGAGCCTGCATCAGTATGGCCTTATCCCGAGTTTAAGTATGCGTTTAACTTTACTAGAAAGGAGGCTTGCCATATATAGACAATGCTTCAAGAATATAGATCTAACTCGTTTAAGTCCCTCTATGTCTATTGTAGAGGAAATTGATTAAATTTAGGACATTTCACCTAGATGATAAGTGACTAAAAATGGCATATAACATCGATAATAATGTTTGAGGCTGACAATGATGTAGCCTACTGAGCAGGGTAGTTGGTTTGATATGCAAACTTCCATTACTAGCAATTCAAAGGGTGTGCTCGGAGGAATTCAGTTATCGGCTCATTGTTCGCTGAATCGGAATTCCGCCGCGACATCATTGAAGGTAATGGAGCTTTTCGGTCTTCACGTTGTTTCTTGTATTAATCTTTTGTCCTCATGCACTGCTTTCATATTGGGTAAATGAAGTTTAACCAATGTGAATTATACAATAATGTCTGTTGTAAGGACTAGCATTGTAAATGACTATAAAATGAAAATTGATTTCCCCATTCATTAAATGTTATTTAGAATATGTTGACTTGATTATGATTTGAACTCAAAAAACCTGGAGGATTCGCACTGAATACAACAATAAAAACAAATGATTTGTAATTAGATTTTATGAGGCAACGATATTACATTATATTTTGGTCTCTTTCACAAACTCGTTTTGTTTGACGAACTCTTGTAAAACTTAATCTATGGTATGAATAACGCTAGAAAGGAAATTTTTATGAAATATGTTATTAATGAAAAATGCACAAAAAATATAATAAAGTCTACACTGACCGACTTCTTTGAATGGAATTTCCCTTAAGATACTATTTTACTTATTATTGATTTTGATGTTAATTCATATTTCATTCAAGTTCAGTTTATTTTGCTTATTAATGTTTCTTTCGATTTACGCCACCTAAAATATTATTTAATACACTTTTTTATTGCCAAAAAAATCATTTGAGGTCCTTGTATTTAAAAAAGAAACTAATGTGATCCTCGTAATATTTTTTCTCATATTGATCTTTTAATTTAGAAAATAAACTTAATGTGACCCTTTGATCAATGTTTTTCGTCGTTGAAGTTCATAGTGCTAATGTAACGGTATATGGTGGTTGATAATGTGGTGTATAATATGGTAGATGAACTAAATTGATAACTCAAACATGACAGATGGACTGTCACATGAGCATCTTGAAGTATTATGCCAGCATCATGAACTATCACGTCAGTACCGTAATGGTCAAAGAAAAAAATATTGATTATATTAAATTTATTTTCTGAATTGGAATGTCATATTAAGATAAAAAGATAAAACGATATTTTTTTTAAAAAAAAAAAGTACGTCAACCTCTGCGACTTCTTCACCTTTTTATTATAATGATCCAATGTGGCCAGCAGCCGAAGTTACAAGTTACAAGTTCCAAACATATCTAAATTTCAACACCAAAATTCAATTTACAAAAACAAAAACGCCCAACAGCCAAAGCACAAAAGATGGAGGCCCGTGTGAAGAACAAAGCAAACCTAGAACTAGCGCCGTCAGATACCAACCGTTAGATCTACCTGAAGGTCAATAGTCTATATTGGGAGTAGTTATGGTTTCCCACCCTTTTCCTACAGTCACATTAGTTGTCAACCAATGGATCTGGTCAAATTCAACGACCTAGATCGAGTTTCATGTTGGGGTTTTAACCCTAATCACATGACAACTGTTGCCAGGCGATCTTGACCGTTCTGAGATGCACACGCCTAGTCTTTCTACATGCTCGTGACTCCCCATCTTCCAGGCTAAATTACATAACTGACACCGTTTGTTTTTAATTTTACCTTTCTAACACCGTTTGACTAATATTTCCAAAACTAGCATCCTTTCTGCTGAGTTGACAAAAGCGCGTCCCCGGGGACACGCCTTTGCCATATCAGCAGACACGTGTGGAAAGCGCATCCCCGGGGACGCGCCTTCCATTAAATGTCATAAATGCCCCCATCCGTTTTTCCTAACTACCCCTCCTCCTCCCCTATATAACCCCCTCAACCCTCACTCATTCTTCACACCAAAATCATCTTCTCCTCTCTTATATAACTCAAATTCTCCAACTATTTGAGTTTTAAATTTGTTATTAGTGGTAAGAAATTTATTTTTATGTTAGTATTTTTTTAAATAGTTATTATTTTTTATATTAATATATTTATGTAAATATTATTTTTTATTAAAATAATATTTTATAATTATTATTTATTTAGAATTATTAATTTTTTTTGCTAATTATATTGTTTTGTCTACAGTTATAATGGAAAACGAAATGCTGTTGCGATTG